CCCTCGTGCTGTGTAACCCCTTTGTCTGCATTTTTAGGCTCATTATCATCAGCCACTTGAAGCCAACATCTGTGAAACAGGTCAACGATCTCAACATCTCTGCAGTTACAAACGACAGAATTCTATTTAGTGACAATGTATTACACGACAGAGCTGTCAATCAGGCCAGGTGAGTCGAGCTTTTGCGTGGCTATCGATCAAGTTTTTACTAGTCATTGAGGCTGATGTTTTTCTTATAGACTCATATGACCAAACTAATTCCTTGTCTATTAGGTAGAGCGATTCGACTTAGTTTACGAGGAAATAAGCCCAATTGACAACTATTGGCATATGAATATGTGCTAAAATATAGTCTTTTACCTTGAATCACAAGTGATTCTCGTTGATTTCTGGTGAAAACGAGGACCCTCGTCGTATCCTTCGCATATTATCTCTCCATTATCATCCTTATAACAAACAATACCGGAGGACAGATCTTCGAAAACCTATGAGAAATCATCTCTAATCACCATTCACACCATGTATATGCTTGAAACTTAGCCAAAACCATTTAAAACAGATAAAAGAAAAACTAACCGACCTTGTTCTTGATAGATGATCTGATCTGAAGAAGTTTACTATTGGTTGAGATTTGATTGTTGGCACACATTAGTAGTCTATTTCCAGGCCTTCTGTTTGAAGCAAGTTCTTGAATTATAAAAGAACCTGAAAAAGGGTGTTTTGTAGCCATTAATAAAGTGTTGAATTGGAAGGAATAATATGAAGATGGTTTTCTTCTATGCTGTGGAACTTGATGGAGAATGATATAGCTGGACTAAAAATATTAACTATAAATCCTTGGGTAAATTCCTCCAGGAGTCCCAAACCTTTCTTATAAGCAAGGCGGTCATGTCCTCTACCTTTTAATATTGAGCACTCAGTATCTTCACCTACTTGAAAGTGTCCATTAAGACTTTAAATGTCCATGTGATTCGTACATGATGTCTTACTGAAAGGACAAAATTGTTCGAAAAGATTTCATTTATTCTAGAAACCAAAACGTGACCGTTCAAATTCATCGAATGTTGATCCTTTTTGGAAAATTCCTTTTTTTTCTTGAGTTTCATCCTTACCACTCTTCGAAAGAGACTCAATCCTGGTCAATGACATGATAAGGATTCACTCATACCACTTGAGCTAGGGCTTGGATAATTATTATCTATGTGCTCTTTTTCGGACAATTTTTACACATTCAGTTAGACATTACGTACATACTGTATAGCCATTTAACAGCTAAATTGACATTTCCTTCGTGTTACCATGCTTAAAATCTTGAAAGATTGGGGACATGGGCGACAAAAATGAAAGGTTGAGAATATGATAGTTACATTTATAAAAGATCAAGGCCCATGGAGGAATTAACTTTAACTTGTATGGTTGATTTGTTCGTAGGTTTTGTCATCGCATTGAAAGAAATATTAATTCAGATGAAACAAGGCTGAATGTCTAATCAACTTGCATTATCTAGGTTAGTAAATA